TGCAGATGCATGATGTTCTTCATTGTAGCGGGTTCAAGACTTGAAACACTTTCCACAAAGGACTGCCTCAGTCTGCAAAAGGCCAAAACAGGGGTTGTCCCTCACACATCCTACAAGTCTCCTGAGGCTTTAAGGCCACATTTATCTTCAAATAGAAAGGTTTCTATTAAAAGGGGAAATAGAAAGAAGAATGGTTTGCCAAGTTCATAGGTTCCTTTAAGGAACCCACTGCTTCCCCTTTTTGAATCGTATGGAACGCTCCTAACCTTCGGGTAAGCTAAGTTTTTGTCCAAAATGTATAAGGATTACATTTTGATGAAGAATTATCCGTTGGGATGCCAGCTTTTAACATTAGAGAAAAATTCTCTTCCTCTGAGAGTGAAATTTTAGGACCAACTTGTCTACTAAAAACCTTCGCAAAAGTTTAAACTTCTTTTTCTTTTTCATGGACCCACATGAGTCCACTTAAGCTCCCTAAATCTGGTGGCCTGCATGTCTTCCATTGTGCCTCTAGTCACAGTTGGGAGTTACCCTTTTTGTTATTCTTCACTATCTGTCTCTTGAACTGCTAGACTGGAATCATCCTCCAAAAACTCTATCTTTGATCATCTTTTCCTCTTGTGTTCTCTGGTAGTCTTAAGGAGTTTTGTCTCTAACCTACAGGCACTTAATATTTTGCTCTGTCACGGCAGGATTTCCAAAGTTTCCTACCATTGTTGTCACTGACTCAGTTGTGTTGCTGTTCCTAGTGCTGGGAGTGGAGCACTTTGGACTTTCCTAGTGTTTTATATTCTAATCCCTCCCAAAGCAGTCTTAGCAAACAGATCTTCTACCCTGGGCATCCTCACTCTGAACTGAATCAGAAGTAGCAGTAGGATGAAATTTTAGTGGGGAAAACGTTGGTACAGTCACAGGCTGCATTGGGGATAGCCTCAAATGAATGGTACTGTACAAAAATATACGTGGTGTGGGGCTGTAAATATCCCACCCTCTTTGTTTCTCTCTAAAGAGAGAACAGCTATGTCCCCACACGGAGAAGGTAAGTACTGCATCTTTAAGGTCTCAGCAGTGAGGTAGAGGAGAGGAACATATTGTCAGTGTTTATACCTTTCTTCTTTGTTGAATTTGGGATTGGCTTCAGAGATATCCAGGCTTTTACTGAACATTGTTTTACTATGGCAGGAACAAAGCGAGAAAACAGAGTTACTAGTGTGGACATTTATACAAGAGAGTCACCTGAAGCAATGCTGGACACCCAGCCCCCCCAACCCATCCTCCCCTTTTTAAGCAATGCTCTGAAAAACCTTTCTTTTACTTTCCAGCTATGGCTCAAGCCTACACAGTGCTGAAGTTCATTATCTTCCCCTGACTTCTGAGGTCTAAGATGACTTCCCTGATACATACTTGTAAACCCTCCTCTATCCAATTGAAAACCCAGGTACCATCTACGTTGTCATATTATCCAGGGAAAATAGAACATGCCTGAAGGCACAAATTGCAAAGCACTCATTACTCAGACTTTTCTAGAAGACCTTAACATTAAGCACAATCTGGGAAAAGGTTAAAATCAGACCATAGAGCCTCTTAGAGGAACGGTAATCCATTTTGTATTCTAATTTGTAGGGTCCATTACCACTTACTCCCAACTCTCTTCCCTATACTCAGTGTACAGAGAAATGCCCTTCTTTATCATCTTGGGTCTGAATACCTGAAGCTTAGAAGCAAAATTCCCTGTGCTTTGCTAAAGGGGCAATGTTTCACTGGTAACATGCTTCACTGTTTCACAGAACACTGCTTCCTAATGTTCGCTGATCTTTCATGCAAGCTATCCACTTCGATAACCAAAAGAAAATGAATAGTTAATGAAGCCCATTTTAGAACAGTTTTTGGACTCTCACAGCAGAGCTGCTGAAAATTTCTGGCATATCTCCGAGGGTTTCTAGCTCCCATGGAATTCTTCCTAGTCTGTGTGATTTTGGCACAAGGAACAAATTAGCCGGTGTTAAACTAAGCTCAGAACCTACCTCTTTTCTTTTGACATTTCAATGAAATACCAGATAGTCTGAGAGGTGTGGGTACAACAGCAGAAGCAATTAAGATGTAATTATGAACCTGTATAGTTGATAACTAGCAAGGAAACCCAAGAATTAACAAAACTTAGTCACCAGTTTTAGGGTGGCTGGTGTTTGTGCGTACATATTTTGCCATATACAAAGACCCAATGGAGAACACTTGGAGAGGTCAGCACAAGAATTTCAAGGAGTCTGTAAGCTTTTGTGCTGAGTTCCCCTCCTCCATTTTCCAAAACTAAGTCACTGAAGGACTACGTTTTTCACTTAATACTATCTCAGACTGTAGGGCTGAAGGCTGCCAAGTTTCAAATCTCAATGGAAAGATATGCCCTTAAACAAGCCAAGACCAGACACTTGTAGGGTCCCCACATGGTTACCAAAAGCACAGTTCATCACACAGACACATAAACCAGAGGTTATAACATAAATCCCCTTCATGCAAGCAAACATCTGTTTTCTACTGGGAAAGAGGACAATAGGACGAAATCACAGAGCATATGGGTGTGTTCTGCCTACTGGTTAGAAGAGTATCTCTGCCAGCTCAAGAAAGAAGCAATGGCTCTGTGTCTCTGGATGTTTACACAAGTCATTTGTGCCTAAACAGGAGACCTCTCTCCACGGTCCACCTCCATGTCTTCCTAGTATTGTAGGATAAAAGCACTGCATAGTCATCTGTTGAGATCAGAAACTGTAATTCTTAAAAAAGCATCCACTTCTGGGATCCCTACTGCTGTAAAATCCACTGTCAGTGGGTCATTTCATGGAATATAAGATGCGACTAGCCATTAAAAATCCCCCACTCTTGGTCTAAGGCACTTGTCATTTTGTTACTGACTGTTCTGACAGATGGTGCCCCATCAGCAATGCATCGTCCCCAGACAATCCCCATGCAGTGGTGTTCGTTAATGAAGCCAGTTCACGTTATAAACGACTGTGCTGCCAGCAACACAAAATGTGCTGTTGTCATCTGTGGATGTGGATGGTGTGAATTATGGAAGCTCACACATGGGAGTAAAATAACATCTTCCCTTTAACCCCTTCGAAAACAAGCACTACCAAGCCCACCATCATCAATCATGGTGTTATTACATCCCTTTCTCCACCCTTATTCACACTTTTACGTCCAGCCCTGAGTTGTGGTATGCGTTGCCCTGTACCTCTTTTGCGCCTGGCAGGCTTCGCTTCCTCTTTAAGCCAAAGCCCTTCTTTACTTATACGTAGCCTGGATATGTCCCTGCTCTGAACTCATCTCAGACCTTTTGATTTCAATTGTTTCTTCGTGTGCAGAATTGAGTGAGACATTTAAAAGCAAAAGAAATACTTTGGATAGCAAGATACAGCTTTGCCTCTTCAGACTTTTGAATCCAAAGTCAAAGCTGAGAGCTGGAAGAGAAGGTTTCAGGCCTCAGAAAACTTTGGCATCAATCTAACACTTCCTCTTTGTTCTGCCCGGTTGGACACTTACTGTAAACAGCTGCAGAGTACTGCGACTCACAGCCTTGGGGTGGGGGAAAGTGATTCACTTCTGTCTGGCTCTGGGAGCTTCATGGCCCGTGCACGTACCAGGTACCAGATTGAACAGTGCAAGCTGAATAAGGAGTGAGCAACTGTTTGTCGGTGTTGTGTCCTTCCTTGTCACTTTGAGGCCTATGAGGAACACTGAGCACACACTGGCCTGAACACTTCCTTCACCCAGACCTCGCATCAAAGCAAAACACATATTCAAGACAGGTTTCCAACCTACACTACATGGAAAAATCTTTATGGCAGTGTATCTCAAGGCCACATATCCAGTCTAAAGTAAGTCATAGCAGATTCTGGAAATTGCCGCTTTTTCCTCGCTGTAGATAGAACTGTAACAGTTGTCAGCAAAACTTTCCAGCAATTCTAGGGGCCTCTGGATATGGAATTATTTCATGTTCTTCACCCAGTTTTCCGTCAGCAAAGGGAGTTTCTGGGCACAGCAGGCTCTTTTTGAGCAGAACAGCTGAACAAAAAACACATGTCATAAAGCTGAAACAGAAGTTACAGCATCATCAGCATACATATATGTGAAGTGTTCTTTCATACCGATTGATCTATACAAGTGTGAATCCAAATGCACGTGCTTCCCTTAGGCTAGTCATAGGGACTGAGGAAGCAACTTCCATGGTTCACGTAAGTGAACTTCCACAGTTCACTTACTCTCCCAGAACCTGCCTTGAGGAGACACTATTTTCCTCTGCTGTTTCTCCACAAGACTGACACTTTCTTTGATAGAAAAGAAGCACAATTATACATATTCCATCACTTTATGGGTATGTGGTAATTTATGTGGGTCAGATGCATGCTGGCTCTGACAGCACACTTTAGAGGCACCTACAGATGCCTGGACAGGGCTTTCCAGATTCAAGTTGCTCTGATGACATGGAGGGTGGGGTTCATCTCATTTAACTTCGGGTGCCCAAAAGCTAAGCACCTAATGCAAGATAGTCATCAAGATTCCTGTTGTAGGCTATGGAGGCAGAGAGGAACAACCAGAGGGTAATTTATCCCATCTAGGATTGTTGGAACAGAGGACGTACGTATCTGAGACCTTCCAAAGCCCTCATCTGTCCCCACTGCCTAGAGTGACAGCCTGTATCACAAGCTTAGACTGAATTCCTATGTTCTCAACAATTAAAAAGAGGTGAGGTGAATCTTGCCCAGATGACGTGGTGGTTTCCTGAGCAATAGTTGCAAGTGAACAAAACCCTTGAGCCCTTGGCAGGACTTCTGGTCCTGTGTGCATAAGTGCTGCTAGCTGCCAGATCATGTTGCAAATGCGCTTGGAAGTTGTAATGAGTGCTGGTGTGAATAGAAAAGCTCCACAGCTGCTTTGTATGTATAACACAGAAGTGGGTAGCAAAACCCAGACAGGCAGGACTCCTGGGTAAAGGAGAGACCCACCTCTGTCCATGTTGTGCCATTTCAATAGCTCTGCGAGCAGGGACTGGGGAGCCGCCATCTGTAACACTGAGAACCTCCATCGACTTCCTTTCTGGCCGCCGCTTCCCATGCCTGTTCAGCATTGGGGAGTCCACACGCTTCCTGGGGGGATCTTTATGAAAAGAAAATGCTGTCAGCTGAATTCGGCTGTGACTTACCTCAAACAGGTTGGTTAAAATCCTCTCTCAACAATCTACTCTCGCACCTCTCCTGCAGAGACAGATATCTTCGTGATGGAGATGAACATTTGCACTCTCTCCCTTCTTCCAAATTTGCAAACATTAAGACAAAAGTTGCAATCCGTCTACAGAGAGAAGGAGCCCTGCTACTGCCCTGAATGTACAAGCACTGTAAAATAAAGGTACAACTATAGCATAGCTTACAGAAATTACCTTACAAAGCTGATAACAGTAATAACAAGATGACAGCATGGGCTATAGCACAAGCTGTTAGCCAGAGTACAAGCCATCTAGGGACCCTGTATATGTACTCGGGTTGCTAGAGCTCGCCTTCGATGTCCCTGCTAGCTAGATTAAATGTGACACAGAGACATGAGTACACTCTCAACTCAGAATTGCATTCGCCTCTGAATACATACACTTTTTTTGCATCTTTAAGATTAGATTTCAGGTTTTCCCTGCTGCTTTATATTTTTCCTCCTTCAGCATTACAAATTAAACATGCTTGTCTACCTGAGATGAATCTCCAATGAGAGCTACTAAAATTCATCTCTCATCATACAGCTTTTACTGCTATAGTAACTGAAGTGCTTTATGCTTTTTATTGTGCAACATTTCTATGAGGTATTGAAGTGCTACTTTCACTTTGCAGAGTGAAAACTGAGGTATAAAAATGAGACATTTAAAGGCAATTCATTCCTAAAGGTGCTGACAAACATTTACTGAGGTTCTGAGGAGCACCTATATTGCTCTGAGAAGATTCTTTAGATACCAAACTGCACTGCATAAAGTGCTCCTAGGTGAGTAGGTAACCATACACACCTCCATGGTGAAGCAGGGAACCAAATGCAGACCTGCTGAGATGTTTTATTACCAACATCTCTCATGGCATCAAAACAGTAAAAAGAAGGAAGGCAGAAAAAAATACAGAAGGAATTTCTTTTCTTTGGTTGGGCTATTTCAGTTCCCTGCCTCTATTTATAGCCACATTTTTAAATTTAGTGGAGGGTGACCACCTGTAAAAAAAAGTTAGAAAGAAGATCACAGTGCCCAGCCCCTAAGGCTTCTTCCCCTGCCAGGATTCCTTTGTAAAATCAGTAATATTGCATTTGACAATTCTACCTCTACTGCCTAGTGTGATGGTATGATTTGTATTATCCTGCCCTCCTCATGTCGCCCATCTACTTGCTTGTTCTCTCTCTCACATTATGTTTTTTAGAACAAGATCCCTTTAAGGCAGGGCTTATTCTTGAAAAAATGAGTATGAGCAAAGATGGTTCAAATGCAAATGGGCTAGTGATAACAACTGACCCCATTACTGTACAAATCAAATATTCTTTGTATTAATAGTAATAATTTTCCTGTTTAAAATTAATTAGAAAAACAGCAGTTCTATCTCACTCCATTTCAAACTACATCCAGTAATAAAAAGGTAGCATAAAATACTAGTAGGGGTAATGACCTCCAAATTAAGAAAGATATATAGTGCATAAAGTTAAGGGAAAAACAAAGGGAGATAAACCTAATAAAGCAGTTATACTGGGTGACTTCCAGTTATACTGGGTGACTTCAGCTGCATGCATATAAGTGGTCAAAAGTAATCTGGGACAAGGTTTAGACATTTCAAACTCCTGCTTCTTCAAACAAGTTCAAAGAATGAGAAAAGATTTATCCCACAGGACAACTGCTGGTATCAGAAGTATGACTAGAGCCAAGTAACACAGATCATGACAATTTAATTACGTTTGGTATCAACAACAGAGAGTTGATACAAGTTTTGCAGAGGGATACCAGACATTAGAAAGGAAGGTGGAAGACTGCAATTTAAAAGAAAGGAAAAAGAAGGAAGAAGAAGAAAGCAGTTAATGTCAAAGGAATGGAGATGAGTAAGCTCAGACTACATCAATGTTAGTTAAGAATAGAGTCCAAACATGAAAGATGGGAAAAGGTAAGAAAATTTTTTTATGAACGGACATTTTAAAAGGCAATTTGATCCAAGCATGTTCAAAACAGAAGATTAGCAAATGGAAATTCAGCAGAGTGACACTTAAAAAAGTGACAGGCCAAATATAAGTTGGACATTAAAAGAGAGGTAAGAAGAAATTTAAAGAGGAATTAGCTAAAGACTTGAATAACAGTGTTTTGTACAGCCATCAGAAAGAGAAAGCTTGAGAGAAGGACAGTAGCCAGAGGGAACATGAAGGAATCAACAAAACAATTAAGGAGGAGAAGGATGTTGCTAACAAGCTAAATGGTTCTTTTATATCAGTCCTTGCTGCTTAAGATGCTGGAAGATACTGATTTCCAATCTATATTTTAAACTATCAAAGAGGGAGACTAAGCAAAAAGAGCAGGTGGTGAAAGACACCAATAAAATCAACAACAGCAATTCACAAAGCACAAAGGTGTGATGGAAAATACATCCAGAAGCTTGCATGACTGTGGTTGAGTTTCTAATAAAGGTATTTGATTCCTCTTTAAAATTGGCTACAATTCTATACTAGACATGGTTGAGGGTAGCAAGTATTGTACATATTTCTTAAAAGAATCTGAGTAAGAAATGACAGGGTACTCAGTCTGCCATCATTGTCAAGTCTAAAGATACTGAAGAAATAGTTAATTACACAGCCATCCTGCCATAAAGACTAAAGTGGTGTCATATAAAAGCAGTAAAAGATTTTGCAGAAGCACATGAATTAAAACCAGGAAAACCTCCGGTGTTTGCCCTTCTCTTCTTGAATCTCTGGAATTATTTCATATGGGAAAATAAGTCCCAGTCTGGACCTGTGATAATTTTGGGGACTCATTTTCATTTTATTTCGTATCAGAGAAGTGAAGCCATTCATAAGGATTTTTACAGAAGAAGAGAGAATTGTATAGGTAATGACCCAATTATAAAGGCATTGATCTGGAAGGTGGGAAATAAAGGTTCAACTTCCAAGTTTGGATGAAGCACCTATATGCTATATGGCTATTCTGGCCCAATCTCTTGTTGTCTGGTTTATTAAGAAACTCAACCCCACAAAAACATTTTCCTCAAGGAGACATCAGTTGACATTCATTCATTTTACTGAGAAGTTTCTCATTTCTATGTTTTCAGGTAAAGAAAATGGACCTGAACTTGAAAGATGGTGAAGGTAGCCCTTCCCTGGCCCTTTGAGAAAGCTTTATATAGCTGAAACATAGAAAAGGGACACCAGAAGAGAGTGCTAGTCTGAGCTGGCCGTATTTTTAGTTGCATCCATCCCTTCTGAGACCTAACATGCAAAGAAAGGAAAAAGCAAAATACTCTGAGATGCACTTTTCTTTTTGGCAAGAGCTCAGGCAATGCACAACTGCCATGAATGTGGTTTCTTCAAGCTGCTATTATTAAATCTGTTATTTTTTCTTTGCTCTTCTTTGTTTGTGCAAGGCCATTGCTAATGGCTAATGATGAGATATTCATCAGAAGCATGATTGCTTTTAATTAAACTTTGCCCCATGTTCTCAGAGATACTGCTGGGAACAGAGGAGGTGGAAACCCCTTGAGGAAGGGGAAATACAACTTACAAACATGCAAAGAATAATTCTCAAAGAGTCTAAAATGTGCAGATGAGGCACAATGATACACTCAGAGTAGTGTTTCCTTGTTGGGGAACATTTTCACTCCTTGTGCAAAAAAAAACCAAACCAAAAGTAAAGCACAGTATTGCAGTTCAAACCATGAAAACACTTTGGCATGTGGAAGAGTGATAGATGATGTATTTAGGGCATAGCTATGTATTCACTGACATGCTGGATATGAAGATTCTAGAGTCACCTTGCTTCTTTTCTTATGACAAAAGCATTTCTAAAACAAGATGATGGTGTCCTTACATTACAGGATAATCTGTTTGAGTCAAAACCTGATTACTAAAGTGCTAGATGACAAACTGCACTGAGCAAGGAACTTTTGAGCACAGGACCTGCAGCTGGCACATCTACTCATCTTCATCAGGATCCCTGCTAACATGCTCTCTGCAGGTCCATCCAGGTAAGAGTTTAAAAATTACTGTGTTTACTAAGAATTTCCATCTCTTCCCTGCAAAATTACAGGGCTTGGAGGCTGGAACTTGGATAAGGTAATAATTCAACAGAGTATTAACAAACTTGAAGTTCAATATACCACTGCCCTGTCGGCTCACGAGATTCCAGGCTTTCCAGTGAAAATAAAGAGCACTTCAATTCTAGCCTTTGAAGTGCTGAAATACAATACCTGAAAATCGCAACACTACTATGTAAAAATGCTATTTCAGGGCATTGATAGAAGTGACTAATCCTTTATTAGTTAAACTTTTGTCACTCTGCACAGCAAGAGTCACTTATATAGCTAGTTCCTCAGGGAAGCATTTTTCCTGTTGTTTAGATTAGTGAAGCCCTTGGTGATCAGCAGTACCCTAAAATAACAATGAATAATCTTCAGGAATAAAGTGGTATCACCAGAGCTTTACAGGATATAGAATCCTACTGCATATTAAGCTTTAAAAATCTTTCTAAGATGGTCTAAGATGTATGTACTATAGACATGTATGTAATATCATTCATGCTTTCAACGGTATATATATTTAGCTACAGAAAACAGAATGTGTACATACATAACTCCATAGGGATGCAATGCTACACAGTCTTACTAGCTCAAGTCCAGAAGCAGAATTTCTGCAATACTGCGTGTAGATTAGTAATTAGAAAATTCTGCCACTGGACGACACTGCTTCTAAACCTCATCTGCTTGCATAGATCCAGCTTGTGGGTTCACATGATATTTTTAAAGATCTGGTTCAAGACCAACTTGGATGTTTCTGCACTGTGAGACAGACATGTCCTGAAAAATTAAGCCTTCGAGTTTAATCACAGAACAGACCTGCCTGCCTCACACCAAGAGTTCTCACCAATGATGTACACCATTTCAGTGGGATGGTAACAGTGATGCTAGGATATGGGCATATATTTAAAAAAAAAAAAAAAGTGAAGAGGAATTAGTTGAGATGTGTTCATGGTGATAGAGGCCATATCTGTAGTACCTATTTCATTTCTAGGGGGAAGATCCTCATCTTCATGACTAGGATACCTCTCCTTCCGGTCAAGCAGAAGAAAATAAATCATTTTCTCTTGGTTTTCTCTGAAAAAAAAAAGAAGAAAAATCTTTAAATCTGAAGAGAGAAAAGCATCAACATGTAGATAAACCCTTCTCAACGAACAAACAGCTACAGTTATTCTAAATAACCTGGAAATGGTCATGTACCTGCCAGCTAGATACACGACCAACAAAGCTTTTAGAGAATCTTGCTGTCTCCAACAAGCAGCTAGTGAGAAAAGGAAATACGATTCCCACGTTACACACACAGAACAGAGGCACAGGACAGATGAGGTAACGTCCACAGAAAGTCCAAACCAAGGGTGGCAGTAAGACAGGTCTCCTGAGCCTCTAAGTGCTCTTTCCACTATGTTTCTCTCTTAACACCTCGGGAAATACACCATCTCTCAGGTGTAAACTTGAAATAAATAAAAATTTGCCAACAAAAGCATATCCAACACAAATAAGAGCAATGATACCTCCCCATTTGGACTGCATGGCTCATCTTTTGATGAAGTGACCTTGCCTGGCAGCAAAGGGAAGAGACAGCACCATGCCTCCATTGCTGGTCACGCTGTGAGCTTCTGACACATGGTGAAATAAAGGCTCAGTGCTTGCTCCCAACAGCTGACTAGCAAATGAGCAGCCAGAAGGTGAGAAGTTGCTACTGATCCCTCACAGTGAGATACATGGTGAAGTGATCTCTAATTTTCCCCAGGTTCATAAGCATCCCAGCCCATGGACACCCAACTGGTATTAAGACTGAGCAAGTGCTTACTCTTCCGACAACAAGTCCTGTAAGAGTTTGTTTCGGTCACGGAAGCAGCCTAACGAGTGCATGCTATCTAACACGTCTGGATCAATATCCTCCAAGGAAGGGAGAGAACGAATCTGCACCTTTCGAGGGATTGGTTGCTCTGGTTCTGGCTCGTTCTTACCCCCTCTGCAGAGGAAAGAAGAGGAGAGAGAGAAAGGGGGGAGGGAAAGAAGGAGAGAAAAGAAACATGAGTCACAAATGAACCTGTACTCTGAAACACAGCCTGCAGCAACAGATGGAAATAGCTTGTTAAATTCCCACTGAGAGACCAGAGCTCACAACCAGACAGATATTCTTTTCAGAAGAAACCACTGTGAAGGCTGAGAGTGACCAGCACCTTGTGGATTTGGGTCTTTAATGAGAAATGTCTGCATTCAGTTAGAAAGGCAGTAGGAACTTCACTTACCAGTGCCCTCATAATTTAAACAGCTGTTCAGCATCCTAATGCCAAACATTTATAAAACACTACGTGGTTTTAGAGATGCTGTCTCATCAGCAGGTCAGACCTCAGGCTATCAGGCTGAAAACTGCAAGCTGAATGATTCCCTTTCAAAGAACGAATGGTCACTGTTTTTCACCAAACCTGATTACAACTGGCATTGCAGCAGTTCCTTTCTTTCAAGCTTCCAATGTGATTAAGAGACCTTAGTGTTCCAGTCCCCACTTGACACACTTTAAAGGAGTTTTGAGGAAATCAGGCTGTTTATATACACGCCCAAATACAACAATCTCTGCTTCTCTTTGGACATGCAAATTTGAAAATCGTGGCCCAAGCCTGATGCCCGAGGTCAGTGGCAGACCTAGGAATAAACCATTAGCAGTAGAGCATATTACTCTTTTAAAAGTAGTTAACACAGGCTTCCTGCATAATTATCTCATCCCATTCACTACACTCAGGAAATATTGATTATTCACTGCAATTAAAGGCCCTGACTGTAAGAAACAGGCCAAGGTGTCAGGGTATCTATAACTGACTGAATGATATATATTGCAGGCACTCTGAATATCGTTTGATTTTGTTTAGGTAGGCAGCAAGCAATTTATGTAAACTCTATCCACCCAAAGGGGTGGGTTTGGCGGTGGTAGTATTTTGGTTGGAGAAACTGTCTACCCTGAACATTTGCTATTTCTCAATGGATGCTTTGTGTGATGTTGAAGTTCTCCTACTTTGCGGGTGAGGTCCTTCCTTGCTTTTATGTGATGTAAATGTGTGACTGTTGGGTCCGGGCTCCCAGGGTGGGCAAAAGGAATCAGGAATATTTAAACTGCATCAGATGTCAGTGTTTGCTGGTTATGGGGCTGTGTTTGGGCAAGACATTCTTCCTTTTGATTATGGCAGAAATAAGATGAACACAACTTGCGAACTTACAAAACTTAAAATGTTCTGGGCTAAGATGTGAGCTATCTACACAGAAAAAGGAGCTCCAATTCAAATGCACCTATTTTTTCTTGGGTAAGTTAGAAAGCAACTCTGGTAGGATCATACACATGAGCTCAAGGTCTCAGCTAGTGCACAAAAAAGAGAGCCAATGCAGATTATCTCCTCCAATGTCAGAAGGCAATACTAAGTCATTGCAGCCAGGGGTCTGATGCTGGGACAGGATAGTTACATGCTACAGCTTAATCACAGGAGTTTGTCGGCTGCTACTTGCATTTTATTTTTAAGCAAATTAAAATGCAGTTGTGAGGCACCTGCTCTGTTAACCATGTTTGTAGGACATCACTTGCAGAAAGACTCCTTGGAAATCTTCGCTTTATCTTCTCTTGAAGCAGTGAAAATGTGCTCAGCCCTTCCTGGATACATGTCATGGAGTCAGACTCTGGTGTATGTTACATGGGTCATGACAACATCGGTCAGATCCCATTTCTCTTACACTGAGCGCTCACACACCCCCTGCTTGGTTTCGTTCAGTTTAGGGAACTGGAAGCAGAATATACAGGACAGAGACAGAATCTGCTCCTTGGGATTCATTCTTGTGTGTTAAACCACTAAAACACAGCTTCTGACGCTTCCCTGGACTCTTGCAGAAGTGTCTATGTCCTCTGTAATGACACCATGATCCTGAATCTAAGGGCTAGATTCAAAAATCCTTGTTCAACTAAAGAAAAATCTTATTCCTTGAGTGCCCTGTCTTTAAAAGGTAGCTCCTCCTACCTCTTCGGATCAGCATCTAGCTCTCAGCAAGTAATAAGCAATGATTAGATCATAACCTTAAAGCTAGCGATGACCTTGTCATTGAGATAAATTCTTGCAGGTTGGAGCTTTGAACAGCAGCTGAGTGGTTTTGGTTTTTAATGATCTGGAGTTCACTTTTAAAAAGTATTGACTCAATTAATCAGTCATTATGTTACAATCAGATGTCCTTAAGATAATTTAAAGAGATTAGAAAGAATTAATGGTTTTGAAAATTTCCAGAAAATCTGGGTTTCCTACAAGTGGCCAGTAGGTCGAGGGAGGTCATTCTCCCCCTCTACTCTGCACTGCTGAGGCCACAACTGGAATACTGTGTCCAGTTTTGGGCTCCCCAGTTCAAGAGGGACAGGGAACTGCTGGAGAGAATGCAGCGAAGGGCAACTAAAGTGACTGAGGGACTGAAGCATCTCCCTTATCAGGAAAGGCTGAGAGAGCTGGGACTCTTTAGCCTGAAGAAGAGAAGGCTGAGGGGAGACCTTATTATGGCATACAAGTATCTAAAGAGTGGCTTGAAGGAGCATGGAGCCAGACTCTTTTCAATGGTTCCCAGCGACAGGACGAGGGGTAATGGGCACAAGTTGGAACATAGGAAGTTCTGTTCAAATACATGGAAAAACTTCTTTACGGTTCGGGTGGCAGAGCACTGGCACAGGCTGCCCAGGGAGGGTGTGGAGTCCCCTTCTCTGGAGATTTTCAATACCTGCCTGGATGCAGTCCTGAGTAATGTGCTCTAGGCAATCCTGCTTTAGCAGGGGAGTTGGACTAGATGATCTCTAGAGGTCCCTTCCAACTCTGAAGATTCCACAATTCTGTGATTCCGTGAAGTTGCCGTAGTCTACAGGAGAATATCACTTGCAAGCTTCTTTTATATCCATCACCTTGGGAGCCAGTTCTAGAGAGCACAGCTTGCCGTCTTCAGCGCACTGAAAAGTGGCTTTTCTTTATGCCCTGCACCTGGTCAGCCTCAGACATAGTCAGGAATTTTCACACCTCCTCATCAGGTACAAGCAAAATCTGCAAAGTGGCGCCTCGTCATTTGGCAATGCAATTCAGCGCTTCAGGAAATGAAAATCACCGGGTCTGGGCTGTGATTGGCATGACTCTATTGCCTGTTCCATTCTCAGTCTAGCAGAGAGTGACAAATTTGTTGCATTTCAGCCCACATAGACATCAAACAATGTCACACAATGAATACTGCAAATCACGTATATTTTTTAAAGGCTCGCATGAATGTAATTGCTGCTTTAAAACCCATCCTCTTTTGTGAGGATCGGTGCATACAATGGCTTCAATTCCGGAGCAGGGCAGACTTTTTCAGTCTCTCCATGAAATTCCCTCGTGAATCTCACCAAGATGCACATTTGCATCAGTGCAAAGCAAAGCAGAACCGGTACAGTTATTCATTTTCTGATTTTAGTAAATTTGGTACCTTCACAATTAGGACAATAACTCAGTGTTACAGGAGTATGTATTTACCATAATAGCTAATTTTATTTGCCCTCTTGCTTTATTAAAAAAATGTGAAAATAACTGCTGTTTATTTGCTGATTTATGATAACCTGCACTTGAGATAAAAATAAATGATTTCAATTAAAAAGGCTTAAAAAACCTCACTGAATTAATTTGGGTGGGAGAGCAAGAAGAACTGGAGGTTGGTGATGAAAGGTTTCTCTTTCGTTCCTTTTTTCCTTTTTTTAGGCTTGTGAATCACGATTTCAACTTTCAAGACCTCTTTCTCTGTCTGCCTAGTCTGCAATTAAATCTCTTCCTCAGTTTTACAGTAGTCTTAATGTTTATTTGAAGAATTAAGTGAAATCACTTATATGTTCTAAGTACAACTTTCAGGTCAGTAACCTACATATGACAAAGCATGAAGATTTTACATAGAATAGTAGTGTTACATGCCATAAAGAAAAAATTAAGGATGTGAGCAAAAGAGGCACAGAGTAAAAAAAACACTTGTAACCCCTCCTTCTCTGTCAGCATCAATATTTCCAGGCAAAATGAATGCAAAGAGGCTATGAGACATTACCAGATGAAAGCAGTTGAGTTTTGGAGGTGGCAGGGTTATTCATAGACTAAACTTAGCCAAAGGAGGTTAACCTCCTTAGGTCAATCCATGGCCAGTATAGAGAAAATGAGAAACAAACTCATTAAAAAAGCTATTTTGAGTAGAAACTTTGTTTTAGGCAATCTGAACAGACTTCTGGAAGAGCCTTTCTCTTCCTGCATTGACTACGCTGAGAGTCTAGGGGAGACTTGCTTTTGCAAAACTCAGTTTTTACTTCTGAAAACAGCCTCAGATGCTATTTTTATTGGGGTAAAAAACTGTTTACTGTGTCAATCATCAGAGTCTGACCTTCACCATGAAGTACATGAAAATGTTCAAACACTTATGTCTGCAAAGAAAAAAAATCTTCAAATTCTAAATCCAGAATAAAGTAACGAAATAACACCTGCCCAATTGTACATGTGAGCCTGGAACAACAGTCTTCTGAAAACTTCCAGGAAAAAATCTTGAGGAGGGTTAGAATAATAATATAAGTGATCAATGACATTTCAGTTTTTCCCTATTACATTTCTAATCAAAGCACAGAGAAAGTCAGGTGATTTCATTCCATGAAGAAACAGAGGGGATCAGCTGATGTAAACAGCATTTACTTCTGGAATTTCTAGTGAGACATTATAGGAGGGTTACTTCAGAAATTACAATTAAAGATTTCCCCCCTCCATTTCTCCTACATATATCCATGAGAGTTTAAAAAACCAAATACCTGAAGCAAACAACACTCCAGTCCTTCTTTGGTTTAAAAAGGTGCCATGTAAACTGGTAACTGTAGAGACCATGAAAAAGCTTTGGGCAGAGTGCTGCCACCATTTCAGGTGAACTAAGAAAAAAACATGTTATTCAACCAACTGTTGAATGCCCTCAGGTCCTATCGAAGTCCGATAATCCAGAAGTGAACATTGCCCATAAGACAGAATTAAAGAAAACAAATGACAGGCTTAAATATCAGTTCATATCATTCTCAAGTATTTCCCAAGAGCAATGATAGGATTATGAAGACAGGACTTTCCTTATCACCCACCTGGGGAACCTGTAGCTATGCTGACCCCGAGAAGCATGTACCAAAGCATCATTTCCTTGTTTAATATATGAAGCATTCTCCTTAGTTTGATTAGGTTATCATGAGTATAAAAAAAAATATGTTATTTACTTAGGTTTCTTGAAATACTATTAAGGCTCCACAAAGTGCAAGGTCACTTTTAAAAGCCATCAATCTTCCCTATCCCCAAACCACTAGACAAGCAGGTACTTTTCTCACAGACCTCCTGTTTCACTGTCAAGACTGCTGCTTTTAATCAAGTCACAGAACTACTCTCACATCAACAGGTTACAAGGTCAGAAGCAGCCTCTTAGCTTGCTGTGAAGAAGAAGTAGGGATTATGAGACAGAAAAGCTCTTGCTCACAGGTGCTTACTTATCAATATCATCATTTTTGTTTCTACTTCAGAGAAAAGCCGAGATGACAAGAAGGACCAAACGAAAGCTTTCTTGTGAAGAAGGTATTACAAGGGATTGTCTGCAGCACTTGGATAGCAAACTAAATATGTCTGTTAGTTGGGGTTTTTTTTTGCTGATCATTTGCAGGTATCTGTTTAACACAGCAAGTAGCTGAACTGGACGTCTTATTTCAAACAATTGTTAGCCAGTGTATAAAAAGTTCCTGGCTTGATATATATATACATATATATGTGATATTATATGAGTAGCAAAGGGAAAAAACCCCAAAACACTAGATGTCTTTCTGTTCTCTTCCCCTTTCTCCACCTGTGTGAAGGCTGCACTCAAACTTCAGTCTCTCTCTTCAGAGATGACTACAATATAAGCTTCTGTAACAGAACCAATAATGAATGCACACAAAAGGGAATTTAAAAAAGTGGTACTCACATATACCATATGTGTTTCTGAATATGTTCTAGCTGTAAAGGAAAAGAAAACAAGGAATTAGTGCTGTAAAACAGAAAAGGTAACTCCATAAAACATCCTTATTCAAGGCTTATTCAAGTAAGTCCAACATTCCAGATATGGATCTGTGCAAACAACAGGAACTTTATGCTGCGTAGAGAGTATGTCCATCCTCGCACAGCCCACTGGAAATGAGACTGTAATTCTGGACATAAGAAATCAGTAAGGAGCAAATCCCAGGAAAATGAGTACGTACAAGGCTTCACAGGCAAGTGTTGTTTTGTCAATTTAAGTTTTTCCCTTCCTAAGCCCTCTATAACCCAACCAAAGCTAACAAACTGCTCCTTTCTGTATGGGCATAATAGCTGATTCTTTACACCTAAAGTTCATTTCTAGTTTTGCTTTGGAAAAAGGGCGACAAATAGGAGGAAAGGAAACAGGTTCAAATAAATAATGTGAATAAACAAAATAAATTGTGCATGTGTGACATGACCTTCTGCCAGGACCCATTCTTGATTTGCTTCACATTTGTTATTAAAATCTAGAGACCAAGTAGAGTAAGGTTCTATGTCAAAATAATACCATTTATTGTTCCAGTACCTGAACACCAGACTGCAAATTTCTTTTACTTCCCTCTCTCCCGTTCCACACATGAGCATTTTACTATGTAATGAAGGACTGATCAAAGCTGAACAGTGGCCTTGTCCACCTATGGAAGGCAGATCCCAGTAAATGTTACGTGATGACCATGTTTTCCACAAGTATGGGGAAAAGAAAGTAACACCCCTTTTCCAAGAGAAACTTTTAACAGTAGAGTGAACAAACTTTTCATATGACGTACTTACAGCAGAACCTTGCTAATCTGTTTTTTTTTGTCAAGCATCATCACAGTAGAAAAGAACTTTTCTAGATGCTATGCAGACAATATTTCTCGTATTCCTCATTATGAAGCACCTTTGTACATACAGAACAATACGCACACTCACTGCACACAGGCTTGCGTTTGTGCAACACACAGGTGAGAGGCAGGGGAGAGCTGGAAGGAAACTCAAGTGCTAACGGCTCTAAGATGAAATCACAGACCCATTAAACTGGTCAGGAAGAACGGAGACAGCTGTCCTGTTCTTATTACTTTCCACTTCAATTCCCGAATAATAAGAATCAGAGAGAAAAAAAAAAAAAGAAAAAAGAAGAGAGGAATGGACAAACAACAAAATCTCAGAGATAGAAAGTAGGTGTTTGCTACAGAGAGCAAGGAATCGGAGACCTCTGTGCTGTGGAACAACAGCTCTGTGCCTGGGAAACCAGGAAGGTATGAGGTCGGCTCTATATGAGATCATTTTTTAAGTGAGACAGCTTTTCCTGAAAACAAAGAAACAAGGGAATGCAGCTTAGGAAAGCATGACAGGAGGCTGGAGGGATCAGTATGAGAGACAAACAGCCTCCTTTAAAACCAAGGTATCAACACTGCAGTCAGAGGTGCAGTTGGTACTTGTATATGTAGCTGTCTTCTAACCAGCCCAGGTGCCGGTAGCACCAATGCCCCCTAGCACACACATCCACGGGTCCAGGCAGACTCGCACAGATTCCAGCTGTGGCCTCAGCTCTGCCACGAGAATTCCCCTTCATCACAGTTCCCCTTGCGTTACGTAGTCATTTCATCCCCACGCTATTAAGATAAAGGTGGAGTATTCCTGACACACTGCCATCTCCCCTGCCCACCTTAACTCATGGAGATGATGGGTGTTCCCCTAACAGCCTGGAGACACAGCTCTCTTCCTCCTGGTTCTTTGCAAGCTGAGGTACAAACACAGAATATAAGAAGAGCCTACTTTGTACAATTTCCACGGGACAGGATTTTAGCATGGGTACTTATCAGGTCCATAGTACTGTGAGGATCTGCTAAGGACTGGACTGTAATTTACCAAGTGTACTTTTTTTTACCAAGTGTGCTTGGTAAAGTATAGTTGGTAAAACTACCCTATGAGATGCATATCTACTCATTATTTTCACATAGACCACATGGAGGATTAGAGACATTAATGATTTCAGACAAGACACAGATGATACAGCGAAGCGATGTCCAAGCCTCTTTCATGCTTGCTTCTCCTGCTGCATTTTCTGTCTCCATGGGTCACATTGTTCTTTTGTGCCTGTGATATGCAGAAATGCCACGGCAAAGCAGACAGTAGCACTTCATTTTCTGAGTCAGAGAGGGGGAAGAAAGGTGGGTCACCAGTTCATGTCTTAGTCACAGAACCTCTGGGCTCCTTCAAAGAAGATGTCAAAGAGAAATCCTTCTGCCCGTCACTGCAGATCAATCCCCTTCAAGCTAATGAACCAACAGCATTTTACCGAAAGAGAAGCCCTGTAGCACCTTGATATACATTCAAAGGTGCATGAGAGCTCTCGTGGCTGCTGTTTACCTACACATCTGCCATTCAATCCACATCAAAATCATTGCTGTGAAGTACGCTGGGATATCCCAGATATGAAAAGTATTCTACAAAACCAATTTCTATTCTGATTCAAATGTAATTGCATTGAAATGTTATTACAAGTATGCTTGCTGCTGCCAACATCTTCACTGCTTTTTTAAAGGTAATTAATTAATGCTTTGTTGCTTTTCATCTGCATTAAAGTGACAGGAGGGTTATGGGAGGGCGACTGGTTTTGACAAGGAGAAGTCTGTATGCATTTTACAATCAATGCAAGGGAGGGAGATACACAGTGGGAGCTAATTTCACTCCTCCTGCCTTCATTTAAACACAATGTTTAAATGCATTTAAGTGATGAAGGCATATAACAGTCCTTCCCAGAGGGTTCTTCGTGCTGTTTGCACATGAGTTTGCCAAATTTAATGCCATTTTATGGAAGCTGTAAAAATGCCGCTTCCTGATACCTCCTAGCCACCGCAGGCAATTCTCTCATGATGCCATCTCTGAACCAACAAAACATGTTCAGATCCATTGCACATGCACAGGCAGAGGAGAGACTTCTGCAAGCTAAAATGCTGAAATGGAAGGAGAGGGGGAATTCCTTTATCATGGTTTTACGTAAAAATACTTCCAATATATATTGAACTTGTATAATGAAGTAGCATCTAGGAGCCCTGCTCACAGATGAGATACAGCGCTATACAAGCTCATCAGAAAAAGAGGTCTCCTCCCCCAAGGAGCTTACATCTGAATTCTAAGACAGGGAACAACAGATGGAGACAGACAGGCAGATGGAAAACAAGACAGCTCTGTCTACATCCTCGGCACTGATCTCAGCAGAGCAGTTGCCAAGCTAAAAAGTTCTGACCTGAAGAAAAACTTTCTCAAAGTCTGTGGCCATGGATGAGGGCTTCTGGGCTTGAACTCATGTCAAATTTCAAACTTCTCTGTCCAGAAAGGGAACAGCCTCAAACCCATCTGTGCACTAAATCGACTTACGCCTTAGATGAATCTTCTTCATTCAGAAGATCCTCTAGTCTGAGCTTTAAACCTACTGTATAATGTCATGATAGAGGCTTTTCCTGACCAAAGGATTCAGCTGGCTGTGCAAACAGCACTGCTAAAACCATTATCTGTGTCAGTAGTAGCAGCCGTACTACAGCAGCCTCTAGGGACCTTGACAAGGGCAAGGTATCACTGTGCTACGTGCATGGTGCATGAATAGGCCTTTGGCAGCTAAAAGCTTACAGCCTAAATACATCACTTGGACAATCACCTCCATTCTACACGTGGTGAAGTGAGATAATTTAAATGAAGTGATAGGCACCTTACCACAAGACCTTTTAGAAAAATTAAGAAGGAATCAGGGTGTATTTTCCCTATTTCATTTTTTTAACATTCTTCAGACGCCGTGGTCCATCATTAGCATACATTAGACCCGAGAAAAAACAAAATCAAACAATGAGCAGAGAGGAGATTCTGAAAATGTGGGTAATTTAAGTTGGATAATATTCAGGGACAGGTATTTCAAAATATGTGTGGACACCCACCATGGAAGACAAGTCATTCTACTCTGGAATAAAATGTCAACACTGGAATAATAACAGCTTTATCAGAATAGCTTATTCTGCAATATCTGCTCTGATCCACCTTGCTCTACAGACAAAGTTTCGATAATGCTCACCCAACTTTAAAAGGAAAGTGGATCAAAAGCTCCTTACTCTCCCCACTTTGCCATTGTGTTTTTGTAGAAGAAAATATAAGCTGAGAATGCAAATGGATTCCACTACAGGAGCTGTAGCTGTAATTCTCTACTGTAGAAATGCTGAATCATTTGAAACCTCCAAGGAAAAAACATCCACTTTCCAGAGAGCACGTAACTAGAAGAAACCTCATCCTGCAGTACTGCAGGCACCGAGAGCACTCAGTCTCTTCTGTAAACCTTCTCAAACTTAAAACTAGTTCACTTTTTCCTCCTGACACTACTCCTACTAGAAAGCTGTCCCAGAACCCCACTAATATAGCTAAAAGGCTTCTTCTAATTTCTAGCCTACTTTCATTTAAGGCCATTTGACATACATTTGTTTTTGTGCCAGTATCTTTCTTTAGTTTAAATAATCATTCTCTCCCTAGTAATTACCTCTAATGCATATGCAGACAACCAGTACAACCTTTCTCAGTCATCACCTGTGTAGACTAAGTGGAGCTGTTTTAGGCTGTGCTATTCAGACAGGCTCTCTCAAATGCTGACCTCCTTAATAATCATCCTTTGTTTGATTTCATCTTTCCTGAACACGGGTTGTCAGAAGTATCACGACCAGCAGCTAGGATCAATTTTTGCAGTCTACTGAAAGAAAAACATGGATTCTTTTATTTTAAAGCATGTTTAGTAAAACAGGACCTGTAAAGGAGTGGTCAATGACGTCCGACTAACCATGCTTGAGGCTATGTAATATATGGTGAGTGTGAACAATATTCTACTAACGCATCATAAAGACTTCTTTCCATAAATGAATCATATACAAAGAAAGATAATGCCTATTTCTTAAGGCGGGAAAGGGCAAGCAACAGTAATCCTGAGCACCCTCCTCTCCATTAGTCCTCTCAGGCTCTAACACTGAAGCCGAATGATGACAGTTAAACGTGAATGCTAGTTCTGTTTTTGTTGATCATTTTAACAGATGGACTGGGGAAGGTGTGGGTGTGCTGCGAAATGGCAATTACTGCAGGGAGGGAAATGCAGTTGGATGAAAAGGAAAAGAGATACAAATCAAAAAAAAAAGGAACAAAGCAGAGAGGGGAAGGGAAAAATGAAAGAAAAAAATTCTAATGACCTTACATTTCACTATATTTTTCTGCTGAATTCACCAATGAGATATTGAGCAAATGATCAGTAATGGTAACAGCTACATCTGTACTTATTGTACCCAAGCCTCAGATCTTTGTATAAATACCAAATTGATTCAAGTGAGACATTTTCTAGGAATAGAGGCTTCCAAATAAACCCATATTTATACCCTTTTTCACAGGACACAGCTAAAATAGAATTCAGATCTCTCCTCAAAATGAACTACATATTCCCAGCTCCTGTGCAGTAAACAAAGAGCTCCCTTCTGCTTGGCAATCTAGGCAACCGACATGCTAACAGCACAGAAAGGGAAGTGTGACAGCAGCAGGGACAGCAAATGGAGAGACCCTAAAATAATGAAAATAAGATTGCAGCTAATAACAAAAAGCTATCCTTTTTTTCCTCCCAGCTCTCAGCTCTTGAATATGTTTTATTTCAAATTCTTATTCACAATTCACTGGTTAGTGCTTGTCAATAACTATCTGATCTGGGTTTTTTTTTTCCTCCCTGAGGAAATAAGAGCTTCATTTTGATCAAGAAAAGGGAGGGGGTGGTGGTGTCACTCTGGGACCTTGATTTACCTTAACTGTTTTCTCTCTTATGTGTATACATTCTCTGCTGTATTGCACAATTCAAAACATCTAGGGACTATGCTCCATGGCAAAACTCAGAACAATTTGAAGATTTAAAGCCTGATGATTGCTCCCTGGCATAATCAGACCATAAGCACTAAGCTCTTTGAGAGAAAAAAAAAAAACACAACAGGAAAACCATTATGTTTACAGTACCAAAAAGAAACTGAGTTAGAGAGGGACTTTGGTGACTTCCTTAGTGATGAAGAACAGCTGTCTCTCATCTCAGGGTACAACCCTAACCTCAGCAGTGTTCTTTTCATGAAAATACCTGGAAAAATAGTCTTTCTTTCTTTAAAAATCTGTTTAAAAAAGGCCTTTTGAAGTGCCTAATATTTTTATTATTTTTTTTCCAATCAGTGCTACTTACGTATTGCAACTGTGATGGCTGCTGGGTTTGCAGAAGTAGGGATACTAGTAATAGCATCAAGAACTTTTCACCTACATCACCAAATAGATCATGAGCTGGTTTTGTAATGAATGAAAAAAAAACCCAGCTGCAGCTGTCAGGTAATACTGTAAAGACAGTTGTGGAGGGAGTTTCAGTTCACTTCTTACTAGACAGGTGTCTGCATCCCAACAGCACCATCACAGCTGGCGCAGACTGATGCTGTTGTTAGCAATCTCAGCAGAGAGGCCAAGCACTGATCTGAGAGTTTATTTATAAATATTTTAGCAGACTGAAGAACCAGGAGGAGTTTTAAATTTACATTTCTTTATACATACTCCCACTCAGAATCTGTGAGCTTAGTAAATCTGTATAAAATCATCACCAGAGCCTGACAATAGGATTTACAAGGGCAATGTACCCATAAAGGCAGAAGCCTCCACTGACAAGCAGGCAATCCTGCTTTCCAAAATGATTTTAATTGCTAATTTTTTTTTAATTCCCCAAAACATTAACACAGTGTTAATGAAGGATACAATCACTACACAGTGCTCACCCTTGCAGGGTCTCTGTTGTAGTGACGAGATGTATCCTAGATGCAAAGACTCAGTGCTGAATGCCAAGGAGCTGAACACTATGGGCCTATCCGCTCTCAGGACCACAGGGCACAAGATGAAAGAGCAGACTAGAAGACACTTGCTCTGAAGGCTGCTAGAGGATAATGCAGAGCATAGCAGGATAGAATATAATGCAGGTTGCGTGACATGAAGTGAGAAGACATCGCTTTTGTCAGAAATGTAAGAAAAGCATACTCTGTTTAATAGCAAAGCTTCAAATGACAGTCTAACAGTTTTGACCTTCAAACAGTTATATCCTGTCCCCAACAAACTGCTGTACCAGTCAGGAGAGCCAGACAACTCAGGTGGACCTAAAAGTGTGCTAATGGGTTAGTAGCACCGTGATGACGTTATGAGGGATTTCTTCTAAATGCCCATTGCTACATATGAAGGAGAATTATGAGGCTAGAGAAGAGACACAAAGGTAATCTGCCCTCATGATTCAAGAGAGAAGGTAACTAACTTCTTCTCAAAGACTCCACCAACTCCGCTCATTCTTTGCTCAAGAGGAAACACGCAGGAGTGGCAGTAAATCACAAGTTACCTTAGTTATTCAACTGTAATTGCAACAAGGTGACAAATGAAGCCTTGCTCACGTGACTCGCAGCAAATGCCTTCTTACCGTGAGACGTTTCGAGGCATCCACTTCAATCATCCCCCGCAAAAGGTTCTGACAGTCCGGGGGGATAAAATGTGGCATGTGGAACACTCCACGTTTCACCTTCTCCAACAGTTGCCGCAAGTTGTCGTCATCAAAAGGCAGGGCACCCTGCAGGGATGTGACAGAGTGGTGGATGGGAGAGATAAGCAAAAGGGAATTGGAGAGGGCAAACGGAGAAAAGCCAGGATAAACATGGTGAGAGAATGGAAAAGAGGAAGCCAGCTCATAATGAATTATTATAGTAAGTGGAAAAACCTTTTTATTCATTGAAAATAAATAATTTCTTAGTGCTGCTATATTTTCTCCAACATAGGAAACAAAACTGAGGACAGGTTTTTTATTAGACCTTTAATTAGAAAATGACTACCAGTATAAAACATAATACAAAATATGAAATTGCCTTTCCAGACAAATTCACCAAAGATGCATGGATTCACTTAAATTCAGCTCGAGCTTTTGATCTGCTGGTATTCCTCCTGGGCATACTTTCACAGCAGCAATGTTTATCGTCTCCTTATTTTTAATCTTCCTGAGACACATTTATTGCAGACATTGAAAGGAGGTGAACAGCATTTGAGAGACTTTCAGTAAAGAACATCCTCTTTCTGATGGAGCAGTTAAATGACACAGCTGAAAGAAACCCTGACCAACATTAGCCTTTGGAAGCAGCAGACGTTCTACCTGTTTAATATACTCCATCCAGTTCCCATGCTGTGGTCAGGTCATCGGTTCCTATTGCTTTCCTACTGTAGCCCACTTACATGAATAGTTTGAGGGTTTTTTTAGCTGAAATTACATTTTGAATAGATTGTCAGCTCGCCACAAAAAGCAGCAAAAGACCTATCCTTGCTGCAAGGACAAAAAGGAAAAAAAGAAGTTGAAATCTTTAGGATAACTCCACCAACTGAAGCTGATACCCTTTTATAGCAAGTCTGCACCTTCCTAGATATTCTCGCTTCCTTCTTTCACCACCTAATTCTAGTAGGTGCTGAGCTTCCTTGATTTCCAGGATGGTTTGTGGGAAGCTGCAAGCTGTCGGCTGCTGTGATAATAAAGCTTTAAGTTGTCAATTCTGGCACTGCTCTTACTACAGCGAGTAGTGCATCTGTATAAGCAATCCGGTGTCCACGGTTTATGGAGACCAACAGCTCCATTTACAGAAGCCTCTGAAAGCCCACCTGATGGCAACTGCTACTGGGCACTATTTACTGTTGTTTGTTCATTCAAGTGGCCTTGAAGAGAGAGCCTCCCTGTCTTCTGTAACCAATCTCCTGAGTTACCTACCTACTTTTTTCCTAACGGTTCCAGACTTAAAGGAAAATCAATTCTGATAGTTCAGTACTTTGGCTAACGCAATTTGAGCCACGATGAAGTCAGCAAGGCTGCTTTGTGGCATTTCCTGAAGGTAACAACTACAGCTCTTTTATTACTACCACCTGCTATTACAGCTTGAGAGTTTTTGTAGGGTTTGTCCTGACATAATTAACTGGAGAGCTCTGCACTCTGTCAATAATAGACTTATTTCAATCGTTTTGCAGGCTCATGTATATATGTAGGAACAGATGAAGATGCAGCTACAGAGACACACCAAATCTTGACAGAGAATCCCCCTGAAAATGAAAAGCCCACTCCTGCAAATCCTAACCATCTTGACACATCCTCTCTTCCATTCTTACAAATTCAAGAAGGTATATTAAGAACTCATTATACAGTTCTATTTTATCAGCCATAAAAATAGCTGCTCAGGAGCAATAGATGACCAGGTGCTATCTAGTGAGATAGTTAAAATTCTTCCCTTGCAACATCAAGATAAAAAATCTAAAACTTCAAAAATGCCAGTGAATTGTAACGGCTAAAAAGAAAAAAAGTAAAACCGGTTAAGGTGAATTCAAGTATCATACTGGGATTAATTCCAGGTATTTTGATTCATGCCATTAAAAAAATTACCAGCATTTTTTTGGAACCAAAAATCCTTTAAAATTTTCAAGTATTTTAAACACAAATAATGTGCAGATTCTAACTCTGATTGTACATTGTACAAGTGCTTTTGTCAAAATAAAACATTTAAGTGCAGTAATTAGGTTTACTAATAAATGTACAAGGATATCAAAATTTGACTTCAGGCTTGTTATTTTTATAATTGTAGGTGATCATCTGAACTATTATAAATATAAAAAAATTAACATGCACATAAAATCTGTTCTCATACACAGTATCCAATCTGCACATGGTATATGCTTATATGAACATAAACTATATTTTCCTACATTATACTATGGAAATTCATAACAAATCCCAAGCCTATCTGCCTTCAGCTGGACATCCAATTTTTGTATGTTTAGGAGTATAACATTACCACTGCAAATCAGAATAAATTCCACAGAGAACTGAAACTTTGATCGAAAGAAGGCTAAGTTACAAGATAGCACATTTTGAATACTAAAGAAAGTATTATTAAGCCACACGGAAACTAATTTAAACTTTGTACTAATGGCTCAGTTTTATATTCCCAAGTGTACCACATTTAAATGTAGCGCAATACTTGCATGAAACAAAATTGTTGCACTCAAATCTTCTCCTGATAAAACACTGCAGTTAATGTATGCATATACCTACTAAAACACATATATACATACAGCAGAAAAAATAAACACTTCCCAAACCCAGCCATATTTTGATCCTGTGAAGGACAACTTATTTGACACTCTCTGTATCCTGGAATTGTAACCCTGCACATCTTTTCCAGTCAAAAAATGTGCTGCAATACCCCAGCACAGCAAAGAGCATTTATGGAGACAAGTTTTTGATCCTTGTCTATGCTTCCCTATGCAGGGCAGCAGCATTTCAAAGAATCCTCATGCTTTTCCTTTGGGACCAATGTAGAAATAAGAGGAAAGGATGCAACTGAGAGATATAAAAATAGGGGCACTAAAAAAACCCATCTGTACACGATGTCAACAAAATCACCATTAAATACAGCAGCATTTTTTGATTTTTCTTTTCTTTTTAAAGGATAGCGCAAGGAAGATGACTCACCACTAGCAACGCAAATAAAATGACTCCGCAGCTCCAGACGTCTGCTTTCCTTCCATCATATTTTTCTCCCTGCGCAGCAATGACACAGAGGTTCAAAAGATTGCTCACTACTAAGTGAATTAATTATCCTTGAAGAACAAGAGAGGGGAGAATGGGAAACCCCACATTTCAATTCAGCCACCTGCTTCCCAAGGTGGCCTTCCCAACTAGGAGGCCATGACAGAGCCCATTAACTGAATTTTTATGAACATCAGTTTACAGTCATATCTGGGATCTGCAACAACAGGCTCAAAAGTGGGGACAGCTCACAAATGATTAGACCTGGCACCTAAACAGTGTCAGAGGTGCATTAAGGATGTCAAGAATGTGTTTGTCTCTTCCCTGGTTCTTCAGGGAGCTTGTCACCAGTCACATTATTTGCAAACTCATGGTATTGTCTGGACAGTCTCTTCTGTACACTTCCTGCTTGGATTTACATTAAAGATACGCTTTAAAAGAGGGGAATCTTGGCCACTGAAATCTTGGATGCTTATTTTCAGAGGACAAAGGGAGAGTAGAGGGAAAGGACAGTTCGTATTGTTTAACGGAAACCAACATCACTGACAGCCAACCCCGGTTCTTCCACTGAAATGACAGCTACATCAGAGACAGGAAAGCGTAGGGGACTGCATCCCTTGGGTGGAAAGATCAAGTTAAACGAGGCTACTGTATTTCTGTCTGATCACATGGCATGAAGGGTACTGTGAGAATAACACACGATCATTTCCCTCATACGGTCGATGGGGCTTGATTCAGGGCTCAGCCAAACAAACAAAACCGTAGTTACATTCCTTGTGTCCTTTCCAACGCTGTCTGCCTTCGACAGATTTCCTATACAGAAGGTCTATGCAGATAGATAGATAGATAGATATCTATATCTATACTTGCAATGAGCGACACTTTTTGAAAAATGTATTTATACACACTAATGTTAACCAACTTACCCGGATGACTTCAGGGCAAGCATAATGTGGTGATCTGAAACACAAAATACGGTCAAATGAGCATGTAACCTCCTGGTATTTATGGATTATGTGCATTTCCATTTTGTTTAGCAGAATCATGATTGGCTTGCTTATACAGAATGCAAGTGTGCAAAACCAGCACTTTTTTCCTTACCTCAGTGAGAACACATTCCTAAGAAACTCAGAAAATGGTCAAGAACTAGCATAATTCAAAATTCTATGCCCCTACTATGAATTTCTTAAAAGCGAGGAAGGAAGAGAAGATCAGGCATATTCTGTGACTATATAGAATTCCAGCCCTCTAATCCCACCCTTTAACTTGGCCTTGTATCTAACTAGAAGGAAGGCCCATGCTGAATAGCCTTTTATAAAAAAAAAGGCAGAACAGTATTTTCAGACCAAACACACGCATCCCTAAACCATGTCTTGCATCTCTTCTGCTAAGATTGCTCTCAAACCACTCCAGTGTTCATAAAAGCTGCTGATACATGATTTCAATATGCATTTTTTTTTTCTTTAAAAAACTAAAAAGGATGGACAGTAGTACTATTACCTAGTGAGTTAATATATTCTTTTTGCATCCTTCTATCCATAAATCTCTGGTTTGATTCCTGGCTGAGAATAGTTAATTACTTCAACTTGCCAGGTAATAATTTTAATTCCTAAAGATTATAGCCACAGCTATTTATTTTATAGCCTTCATTAAAGTGACTTGACAAGTAAAAGGGATGCAAACTGTCTGAGACCTGTGTGCAAATCATGCTATTGTTTATACTGACACCTCCCAGCAGTCCCTGAGCCTGTCTTCATTTGTGCATTTGTTTCTTGTGACAAACACAATCATGGCTGGGCAATACCTGTCTCACAAAGTAATGAGCAAAACAGAAGCACAGTGAGGTTAGCTTTGTGCTAGGATGCTACATTAATGCCCAGTGAGACAGCCCATTAATTGAATTTCCATACACACTACATTTATCCTATGGCAAAATATCACCCCGAGGGCATGGAACGCCCTGATGTGGTATCACAGCTTTTGGCAGACCATGATAATAAACTCGGGGTACACTTGGGACTTCAGCTACCTTGACAGCAAAGCTTAAGCGAGGAGAGAGAAATGCGGTTGATCCCTCTCAAATTTTAGGCAAGGTGGAATTTGGAAGTCATACCCCTCTGGCCCCTTATTTAACAGGTTATCACAGGTATTCTAACCAGGTTTATTTGCTCTGTAGTGATCCCAAGTGTCTTAATTTAGACTGGATTTTAAACCCCTCGATTCAAGAGTCAAAACAGATAATGAAAAGCAGAGCCTTCCCTCAGAGAGCTGGCCAGAGTTAGTCCTTGGGAGACCCAAAAGAATGGACTTGTGCCAGACTACCCAGAGTCTCTTGGCAGCTCTGTCGCTGGCAGCCGGATGGACATGGACAAGGTTACTTAATGTTTTTAAAGCTGCAGCTGGCCATAGTTTGGAAAAGGTGACCAGAACTTCACCATGAGTCTTCTCTTCTGACTAAAGCAAGAGCAATGCCACCACAGCTTTCATACCTCACAAAAGTTTGTACGACTGAACTCACTGGGATTTGTATGAGGCTTTAACCATTTAGGGCAAAAGCTTCTATAGTAACAAAGAGCGTGATGGCAACAATAATGAAATAAAGCTAAAGCAGACAGTAATGTTAATAAAATTGTTCCTTCTCGACTAAGCGGGGGCTGATCTGGGGGACTTGCTGCATATTGCTGGCCACTGCTGGAGACAAAGGGAGGCCAGAGGGAGACAATGAATTGCTGAACATTATGTATGTGTTCCCAGCCCTCCAACATATATTGTTCCCTGTGAATTTGCTTCTTTATAGCAATCCAATAGCTGCTCTACACCTGTTCTTTTTAATACCCAAAGCTTTAACCACTAAACAGTCATGTCACTGGACTAATGCACGGTTTTACAAGCTTTTAGAAGACAAGTTAAATTATTCTTGTGAGAATGCTTTACTAGTGGTGTTGTCTTTTCTTCATATCATAAAAATGGTGTATAGTGTACAGGCCATCCTTAAGGTACACAGAAATCCCAATTAAGGAGCAGCACCAGAACTGGAACTGCAACCCAGGACTGGACAAGCACAGCCAACTGTCACCAGTGCTAGACTGCTTAGACAGAACAGTAAAAGAGGGCAGTATGGGAGCTGTAGGGAAGGCGGTAATGCAACTCTAATTTGGAAAAAAACACGGTAGCAAAAAGAGTATGGGAATTACATCAGATCATGGACATTCACTCAGTTTAGCCACCTCAGAATAGAAAGATCAGTTCTAACATGTTCTATATAACTGAGTCATATTAGGTTTACTGGAAAGCATATCCGGGGGAAAAAAAGGAGTGAAGACACAATCTAGGTAACTGTTGAACTCCTGTCACTTAGCATGTCCAAGTTTCTCAGTCTTGCATGCATTTTAGCTTCTGTCAGGTATGATGCTACCGTTGCCTTTGCTACAGAAGGTGAGTCACAGACACGCAGTGCATTAAATGGCTACTACAGGTGGTGTCTGTGGCTGAGCTAGAAATTTCAGCCAGACCTCTCAAATCCTGCACAGTATCCTGTACAGTTCAGCATCACCCTTCAGCACAATACATTTTGGGTGGCCATGCCATCTGAACGCTGGAAGAGTCAGTATCTCAACTTGCAGAGTGCTTCTGAGCTTTTATTTGTATGTGATGACTCCAACAAATACTTCAGAACTCTTTAATTGTGGATGCTGAGCAATGCAACTGCCTTGACAGCTTCCTGCACTAACATCCTTGAAAAGAACAATGTAAGTGTTGTGAAGAACCCAAGACAGGGACATACCTATTTAGGTGTCCCACTAGCAAATGCACTTAAAGCTTTTACCTTCCTGATGTCAGCTGGAGTGCAGTGGAAGCTGCTAGGTGTCTTACAAGGCACCACTGCCTTAGATTCTGCTAAAATCTAGGAGAATGGGTGGAGAAAATGCTATAATAAATCCTTTGAACAAGTTGGATTGATTCGATCATTCAACAGCTGCACTGCAACTGCCCAGAGAGCACACGTTTCTGGCACAGCCAGTCTGAATTCCTGCCAGCACACGCTAGATAGATATCTGCAGCATTATATTGGCTAACAGCTCTAAACGGGATCCTCCGGCCAGGCAGAATCCATAGAAAACTCATTTTCATGCTGCCAATCACAGAGCAACTTCAACTGCTTTAAAGAGAAAACTCAAATTTAATCAAAAATCTATTTATCTTTCTACAGAGTCATGAATATTTCTTTGGCTCTTATCACTAATTATTCAATATACGTGTGTCAAGAGCAACATTCCCTGCCTCTTCCCCTAGGCCATCTCCTCATCGTTCAGCTACATCTCTGTGCAGCAAAAGCCACAATCTGCCCTTGATAACAAGTATATCGCTCTGCAAGATCAAGAAGCAGCTGCTGCCTGCGGGTACTGCTGCAAAAAAAGCACCGATGTTGGCAGTGTTTATTTCAAGGGTGATGTGGATTTTCCCAGGCTAGTCTGCCTGGGGCAGGACGGGCTCTCTGAATGGTCATTCACAGCTGTGACTCTAGGACACAGTAAACTTGAGGATCTTGGAGGACCTTAACAAAGCATTTATGTGCGATTTCAACCACAGGAAATAAGCCAGAGTGCAATGGTGAAATCCAGGACAGCCCTGGACAGGTATGTCAGGCAGTCAGAAAGACACGTATAGATCCTTGATACACCTATCCTGAATTTCATCTGAGAAATTAGAAAAGTAGTTCTGGATCTGTGCACATCAAGATACAGTGCGGCTACAGCAGATCTGAGACAACCAGGGCCATACCTTCAGTGCAGATGTGATATGCTCGTGACCTACAGGTCACATTATGTAGGTAAGAGAGACCTGCACCGTGCACACACAGATCAACTGCCCATGTATGGTTTATCTGGGAATATACAGTAACTGTTTTTCCAGAGAAGCAGGTGGTTGATCAAGGAGCACAGGGAAAGCTGTGTGATCCTACTCCACAGTGTGACAAATCACTTGTTACACTGCCTGATGGGTTCCCAGGCCCCATCAAAGATGAGTGTCCATGCCTGGGTCCTTTAGTCCCACGCCTTAAGATGGTACTATCTGGGGAAGAAGAAAAGCTGCTTTGAGTGCTATTCTTTAGGCCTCACAGCTGGAGGCAGAGTTTCTGCAGAGAGGGAGGAACAAGAAGTCTGTTTCCCTCTGTTTTTCTTATGCATGAAGTTACCTTGATACAGGAGGTTGTACAGGTGCACCAAAGTCCTCCCACATCTAGATGTTTTTGCTGTTGCTTGCATGCTAGAGTCACTTCTTCCCCCCGTGTTAATCACCGTCTCCAAGCTGGCTTTCAGAGACAGAAGCTATCCACTAGCGCAAAAGGCTGCCTGTGCTTTCCCCCCATGCTGGGTAGCAAAGGGCTGAGATGAAGGGGAACGCCAGAGGAGTCGCAAAACAGATAAAGGGAATTCTTCAGGAGAAGGACATACGTTAGAGCATCCTGAGTGGAGAAAGCAATAGCCACAGATCACACAGAAAAGTAAGATGGGGAGACTGAAGAAACAGTTCCCGTAGCAGCGGGTAGTTAACGCTGCAGTGGAGGCAGTAGCTGTACGTAAGGCTGTAATTAAGGTAGTAGCTGTAGTTAAGGCTGAGTGCTGTTTTGCCATTAAAGTTTCAACTCAGTCATTTAGCTTTATATGAGATAACTCATTGTCTAGCCCTTAGCTACATTTTACAGCTGTTTACTCCTTGAGCCCAATTACATTTTTGGGCAATCTGCAAATCAGTTCATTAATTAATATATCAGTTCCAATTGTTAAGACTTGGAACCTTTTAGAGATCTTAATTTAAAAAATGAAACAGACTCCTGTTTTAAAAGGGCATAAAGATTGCAAAGCTAAGTATTCAAAAGTTAAGAATTACTAAAATAAAGCTTGAAGACGTTATACTGTACTCTGTGGGTAAGTCAGGGTGGGGCGGTGGATGTAATG